AGTAAACCTATCCTTATAGGGTGTGTATACCGACCGCCATCATCCAACCGCGAATACGATAACGTACTCAGCAACGTATTTAGTGTTGCATCCAATCTTCCCTTCAGTTATAATATAATTGGAGGTGATTTCAATTTGCCTGATATATCATGGCGTACACTTCGTGGACCCTCGAGGTATGATAATCTTCTTAATTCCATCATTACAGGAGGATGGACACAACACATAAATGTACCCACTAGGTCCGATAACATCCTTGATCTTATATTCACGATCAACGTAGCACCATCTACAATTCATGTGGGACATGAATTCCCAGGTAGTGATCATAAAATAGTTGCATGTTCGTTTAATATTTCTCCAGAAACTATACACAGAAACAAAGTTGTTCCGACACCTATAAGACTATACACGCAGGTTGACTGGGACTTGTATCAGGACTTGATTAGATACTCTAATTGGGATTCCTACTTTACCAATGACTCCTTAGAGGAAGTCCTTAAAAACTTCTATGACAATATACAGTCAGTTAATGATGTCATAGCGCCTGTGAAACTGATTAAATTCAAAATTCCTCAAGGTGATTTTATTCCAATATCATTAAGAAGAAGTATGCGGAAGCATTCATTAAGTTACTACAGACATCACGACTTATCGTCGTTAATAGCTATCAAAACAATCCTCATTAGAATCCATGAGTTAAAAAATCTAAGTCTAAGAAATAAAGAGACGCGGGCAATTCAGTCGCCACATAACACTGGAGAAATAGCCAAACTCTTCAAAAGTAGGTTAACTAACTCCAAATCAACATATCCAAAAATAATACACCTAGGTGGCATTACTCACGAAAGTGATGAGGATATATGTGAGGTGTTCAGCACGCACTTTGCCAAATTGTACACTCTAGAAAACGACCAGGATATAGATTTCCCTCGTAAAACAGATAAGTGTTTAAGCGATGTAGTCTTTAACGCCCAAGAAATCGATAAAGCTGCCACAACTCTTAAGCTTACTAATACTCCCGGCCCAGATGGAATGTCTTCTGTCCTCTTAAAAAAGGGTGGAAATGACATGAATCTACTTCTTCTCAAGATATTTTCAACTTCGATAAGGAGTGGAACATATCCAAATAGCTGGAAGAAATCTTACGTTGTACCCATTCACAAAACCGGGCCTATAGCGGACATAGATAATTACCGCCCCATCAACATTACTTCCGTAGTTTCACGTGTGATGGAAAAGATTATAAAGAAGCAAATTGTTCAGTTTTTGCTCTCGAATGACTTAATATCCGCCTTCCAATACGGTTTCCTAAATAGAAGATCGTGCATTACTTGCCAATTAGATTATTTCGACCACATTACTGAGTGTGTAGACAAAGGTCGATCAGCAGCAACATTATTCCTAGACGTTAGGAAAGCTTTTGACAAGGTTCCACATAAGAGACTCATATTGAAACTCCTATCTTATGGAATAAGTGGAAGGCTACTTGAGTGGATAACTTCTTTTCTTACAGGAAGAGAACAGTTAGTTAAAGTCAACCATCACTTATCAACATCCAAACCGATAACCAGCGGCGTAATACAAGGTAGTGTTCTTGGCCCTACCCTATTCATTGTATTCATAAATGATATTGTTTCTATGATCAAGTATGGCAAGCCATACCTCTTTGCAGACGACCTCAAAGTTGTCTATGATTTCGACTATAATGATATGAATATTGTTAGTAAAATCCAAGAAGACCTAAATAGTCTATGTAATTGGAGTGAAAAGTGGCAGTTAATGTTCAATCCAGCTAAATCTGGGATAACATACTTCGGACGTTGGAAACCTAGCATGTGTCTATACATGTACGGTGACCTTGTCTCAAACACGAACACAGTCACAGATCTCGGGGTAACATACTCAGATCTTACCTTTACTGAACATGCAAATAAGGTGGTATCTGATTGTAAACGTCTAACAGGCTTTGTGCTACGCAACTTTTACACCCCAGAAGCCAGATTAGCCATATATAAGATATGCATTCGCCCCAAACTTGAATACTGTTCCCACTTATACAGTAGCTTTAAATCAGCAGACAGAAAAAAAGTTGAAAGTGTCCAAAGATTCCTGACGAAACGCATATTAGGTTATGATCAGCAAATAGAATACCTTGACAGATGTATTCGACTGGACTTAGAACCCTTATGGTTAAGGAGAGTGAAGTGCAATTTATTTCTCTTATTCAAAGTTATAAGAAAGCACTGTAACAGTAACTCGTCTATAACCTGGGCTAATCCTAAATCGTATGGACTACGCAACCATAACTGCCTTCTCAAGGTTAACACCCATAAGCTCACCACTAGAGCTAACTTCTTCACCATTAAATATTGCAAACTTTGGAACCAACTACCCTCTGAGATTAGATCCTGTGAAAGGCCTGACAGTTTCAAAAGGAGCCTAGAAAAACATATTAACATGTCCACCCTAGCCCTTCTAAATGATCTCAACTGCTGGTAGAGTGGTGAAACCATGACATTTCAATATTTAACTACAGACAGTACACTAGTTCCTAGACTAACCTAATAATACTTAGTAATTATGCATGTTCAATACTTGAAATTAGATTATCATTAAAATACTTAAAATGATTACTTACGCAGCAAATGTTCTCTTAGTTTATCACTCTTATTTCCCTTATAACATTCAGTTTTTGAGCCTAATGTATTCTTTGATAATACGAATTATAACAATGATTACACTCTTATTGTATATAGATTGATATACTTTACGGCTACCTATAAGACTCACTAACTTTCTGTAGTATTGTTAACCAAATGCTGAAATTTTGTTGGTTCTGCTAATATCTTTTTATAATATATGTAGACAGGTTACTTTGCAATGTCAAATGTTTACTATATATAAAACTGTCATGATAATTTAGTACACTTGGTCCTGCCAACCGACCTTACCTTCAGTTCATACTACCTATATTGAACCCTAACTATATTGTTCTGCTGAATCTTGCTCCACTATTCACAAAACCTATTCTTGTTATTCTTCAAGGTTTTTGACTTCTTATAAAGTAATCTGTTCATTAGGACGCATGCATACACATATAATATGTTCATAAAGATGTACGCGGGGACCTATTGGAAGCACTCATTAAGAAAGCTAGGGAGATGGAATATGGGGTACGAACATGTCTGGTACCAAGCAATATATTTGCGGTAACCATAATAATCATAGTCTCAGAGCCTAACATCAAAAAAGGTGGGAGGGTGGAGTTAGCTGATCAGTAGATATGGTGGTGGACACTAAGGTGAATCGCCCCATTCTGCAGGAACAGCATTAAAAAATTTGAAGGCTCGAGATATTTCTGGTTTTTATGAGGGCTTAAATCTTTATCTTGAAAAAGATAACAATGAACGCCTTGACAGATCATGCTTCTACCTTTAAATATATACCATTCACCCAGCCTATTGTTGAGATGCGACCATGTGGGATCTGCTCAGATTTATGGGGCATCTTATAAATTAACTTGCTGTCTATCGTCAGATCTTTTCATACCACTCCACAATGTCTTATCTCATTTATTTTCTGACAACGTCTTTACTTGATCCTCATTTTACTCCATTAAACTTAACATCTTATAGCTCTTCATTACTTATTATACTCCTACTCTCTGAAGGGTACGGTAGTGCACTAAATGCACAAAAAGGTATAAAATAAAAACAACTGGCATGAGGATAATTGTATTAAAACCAAAAGTTGATATCATGATAGTTTGTGATATATCTGTAGCATTATACATTGCAAATGAATGTTGTTACCCTAGGGTGTTTCCTTTATTAATGCATTTATTAATGATACTTGCACTTACCTATTTCATTACAATTTAATGATTCACCTCAGCACTTTAATTTTTCTAAAACAGATTCCAATCCCTTGTAAAAGGTGTACTTACCTCAATATCGGTTGGTTATCGTATGCCTACAACCACGGGATGAAAACGGAACGAAGTCGATTTTCCCGCTCAACCTGGAGGACAACTGTACAATTCAATAACTATACGGCCTAATTCAGAAAATGAGTGTATTATATGTATCGAATATTTAACAGTTGAAATACGATTAACTTGTAGACAATCTACGATTTGATATTATATCATACTTGATCGTGCCTGTAAAAATGGCATGCATTTTCATGTAAATTTGTAAATTTATATGAAATACATTATTATTATTATTATCTAACACCTTCTTTATGACAAGAGGATGTAGTATTTAAATTTCTTCCCACTATCATACCGAAAGAGGAGAGGCGACTTAGTTTTAGAATAGCGTATACTATAGGGTGATTAAAAGATTGGTCCTTCTAATCTTTTCCCCTCATCCAGAATACATTTACGAGGTTACTATATAAGGGTGCTCAAACTACGATCTAATAAAATTCGTTTGGACTTCAGATACTTTCATAGAGTGGTTAGACCCTGGAACTCCTTAAATTGATTCACTAGTAACAAATCCATCGGTGAACACCTCCAAGAAGAAATTACATCTCTGCAGAGATGTTTACTGAAAGGAATAACGCCAGTACCTTATTATCTGAATCTGAAATGAAATTTATGGGTTTCAGCGTCGTCACTGCCTTAGGACAAAACATACATCACCCTAAAAATAACCTTATTTCTTTCATCTTATTGCTTCCACTGTAGCCTCAGGAGTCAAATATATAGAGAGTAATGGAATCTGCGGAAGATTTAGAACCGGTCTAAAAAAACAAGATGTGCAACCCAAGAAATCATAAGATTTATAAAATATCTCCAAAAAGATATTGAAAACTGGTTAACAGTAGCTTGCAAAGACATAATCAACACCAAGTAGAACTTTCTTTGGAAGTGCATTAATAACACGCAAAAAACTGCAGTTCACAATTTCGGCCATGTGGTATTTAGCATTGGATGTTGAACTCATCGTGTTGTTAATTGGACGTCAAGTGCGTTATTTCGAGTTATTTTGTAGGCGGACGAGTTGAAGTTGTGTCAATTGGTAGTGTGTTTGTTGGTTGTGTTCGTTGGGTCAGTGGTTTGTGATCCTGCCTACAATAATGAGATAAGTCATACTGAGTCTGAGGTACATCACGAGGCCTATCAACCTGTTATGCAGCGCTCTGATTGTTGCTTTGCGACACCACAACTTTCATTTGAAAACCACCTTGTTTCTGATAATGTCTCCTTTCGTCGGAGACTAAGCAAAAAAGGCAGCTCCGGAAAGTCGAAGTCTGTTAATTTCTCTGATGTGACCACTTATTCATTTGAGCGTCAACAAGGCTCTTCGTCCATCCCTGATACAGGCTGGTGCACAATTGGCATGGCACAAAAACACTTCGGTGTATCTCGGTTAGATCTTCATCAATATAGACTACTTCGAAGGCTTCGTCGAAAGCAACGAGGGTTGAACGCACTCAAGGACGAAACAGGAGTAAACACATCAAATCGTGGGCGTGGGAGAGGTAGAATGAGGGGTCGGGCGAAGCGTGTAAATAACAACTGTCGTAGTCCTGGAGATTCATGTCGTGTGCCCAACTTCTCACCTCCTCCGCTCTCCCCTCAAGTGGGCAGTGACAATCCACTTTTCACGGAGACGTTAACAGATGGTGTTTATGCTACTCCACCACCTCCATATTTAACCCCTCCTTCACCAAGAAGACTAGTTTACTGTTTGGATGATCCTTCACTATGTACCAGTGTTTTTAATTCACTTGATCTAATGGATACTGACTCTGAAGCTTCCCTCGACCACGCTCCTCCACTTAGTTCACCAGGACGCAAAAAAAGCAGTAGGCAGAAATTAATGCCACTAAATTCTGCTGAAAGGATAAGGCTTTTAAGATCATCAGGTTAGTATATGTCTGACATAATCACATCGTCGTACTATCTCTTTATCGTCTTGTGTTTCATAATTTTTGTTAAAAATGCTTTTGTGGGTAGCCGAATTAGACTCATCTTATTCTGTCTTGTTAAAAGTTGATTTTCGCAGCTCCGTGTGGCTCCTCGGCACTTAACAGCATATTAGGAGGAAAAGGTTTCCTACAATTTAAAGCTAAATTTCAGTTACAATCCCTTTCGGGATAATCCAAGCTGAGCAACCGTACATACGTAATGCATCTATTGATCGACTAGATGTGCCAGAAGTTCAAGATAAAAGTGAGTACGATAGAGAAGAAGGGGGAAATCTTAAATCGGATACTGAAATGGATGATTAAATTCGAGCTACTGGGATCAAGTTGAAGTTATTTTATGTAGATTGCAATGTTTGCAAGGGGAATTCAACTGTGGTAGGGTAGTTGGTGGTTTTGTCGATTGACAGTATTTATTGTTCCCAACCATGCCTTATTATAGCCCATCCAGAAATATACTGGCTTACTGGACAAATTCGTTGATCGACTTTTTCCTCCTCACTTGTCATTCCTTGTACTACTCCAGTATTATTACTACCCTACCATACACATGTATTGCTATGTAGACTGAAAGTCGTGGTACTTAAAACATTTATTGTTTAACTTTAACGTTCATAACTCCAAACTATGACGATGAGAATAAAATCTCATGCCAGATTTATTTTTTGAAGTAGTGATAGATGTAGTAAGCTCAGACTTCATTCGTGTTTAGCTGTAGCTTATTGTTCTAGGCGGTCGAGTAGCAGCCACTTGCTGTGGGTTTCAACTTCGTCTTTTTTAATGTAGTTTGGACAGATAACCACAAACAGTGCTGTCACGAAGTGGGTGTGTCTCATTACCTAATGCATAGAAATGCAAGTCTTTAATGAGTAACATATACGTATATAGTTTATTTCTCGAGTTTTTCTGAAATAGTTTTAAAGGGAACTCATATCTGTAAGAAGTTTCAGCTCCTGTATCGGATGGGTTAATACATCTGCATCCCATATCGTGTAACTAATAAAAGCTTTCAGCTGTACTATAATGCTACTTGCTATTGATTTATTTTACCGTAAACCGCTAAAGGAACTTATGTATATCTTTCAAGGTGTACTTTAACTTCAGGTATCACAAAAATCGATGGGTCGGAACGCCTCGTTTGCTCTTTTATACGGACAATGCGCTCACGTGTTGGCTGTAATTGTGGTCCAACAGATTCATGTAAACCCGGTCGGTGTTCATGTGCAGATGAAGGAATTCCTTGCCAGGTAACTTGATGTATTTCTCATCAAATGTGTCTTCATTGGAATTTAAAGGGTGAAAGGTATCTTAGAATTTCAAATAAGCGAATGGCATTGTTAACAGAACCTGGTTTATAATCATTGATTAGGTTACCAGATGAACAGGGGGTCAAATAACAACAGGATAAGATTTTATTTTGATAGATCACACAGTGTTGTACATTAATATTTACTGATGACGTTTCGAGCACGTACCCGGTGGACTCAATTAAACAAAATAATATAAATTACAAAATACCTTGCAATGACTGTGAGTGAGGTCAACTACATAGGTCCATCCAGGAGTTCGGGAATAATCAAATTACCAGAACATCAGAATTTGGCTAAGGTTAGAATGATTGATCTCACGAATATAAGTAATTTAGAAAAAACTCAGCAATCGCGTCTGCATGCACTAACACACAATAGGGTGGGAGCAGGTTGAAATTCTAAAAAGAAATATAGGTAGGTGGAGAGAGATAGAGTGACTGATTACTGAATCCTGGTTCATCGAATAATCTACACCCAACATATGCAACAAAAGTGACTCAACGCAAATACCACAGATATGTATGGAAGATATTATTACCACCAGTCAAATCAGAGGATAATAAATAATGTTGAAATGAATTCAATTCACATTATAACATTCTAATAAGTTACTTATTTTTACTTATTTCCCATCTGAACTGTATTTGATTGATGACACTAATATTATTTCCGAATGTCATTTATCTTATATTGATTTTATTCATATATTTAATCAATTTTTAGTTATGTATGTAAGTGAAGCAAAGAAAATTGTGTGAGTAATGCCTTGATATGACTATGAGCTTCAGTAATAAATTGTTCTCGAAATGCGGTCATCAGTAAGTATTACTGTACAACACTGATTTATCAAGATTAATGGAATTATTAGTCGTTTTGCCTGTATATGCCTATTATTGTCCGAATGGTTTGCATTCCTGCAGGTTGATCGAGAATCTTTCCCTTGCACTTGTGCAGCAACTGGATGCTGTAACCCAAGTGGTCGTAATGAGTTTTCTCGTGAACAAGTTCGTGCACACGCTGAACATGTATTGGCACGAGTAAGTCAAGTCTAAAAAAATTCCTGGTTTTCTTTTGTTTTTTATCTAAAACGCATATTGGTCTGTGCGAACGTGATCTGCAGTGGAGTTTGGATAGCTCCTACAATGCAGATGTGCAGTCGATTGGTATGAAGGTGCTTAATTTCCTGTTGCTTTGTCGTAGGATAGCTTTCAATCTCACTTCAACCGAAGTTTGGGCAACTAGGTATTTCATACAGTATTATGTATGACTTATTACCAACTGCATGAAATATGCTGGTAACATTTCCGTGATAAACACCTATTGTTTATTTTAGGTTAATAGATGATCCCAACCTTTTAGTAATTTTTTAAGAGATTAGACATAGAATTATGTAATACATTGACAACTTAACAGATGGTACCCCAAGCGATTTTGTTGTTCACTCATAGTGATATACTAACATGTGAAAGTAATTTGCATGCTGAGCCATCACCATCCCCGACAGACAAAGTTAACCGACGTAGAGTTAGGTTGAAAAATAATTAGAGGTGGTCAAATCAAAACCTGGAATCAGTCCATGAAATCTTTGACACTTAGTTTAAGTCGTGTCGGGGAATGTAGGCTATCTGGTTGAAATCCTTAGGATTCTAGGAACCAATGTCTGGATACGATTGGGGATATGGCGGAATATTGTTCTTAGTGGTGTGGATGCATTTGTTCCTTGTTAAATCTGAAATCCATTAAACGCTAATGCTTTTCTCTGCTACTATTCTGCTTATTCTAGTTTTTCTCTCTTTTGTCTACTTGCTTGTTTACTCATGGCGACCTGGTTACACCCGCCGAATGCCGTTACTCACCCGGGAAGAGGAGTAAGATTGTGCTTACGCGAGCCACTCTTGTGACTTATACAGTCCCAGAGCAACACCCTGAGATGAAATTTACATTCTCAAGTGTTGGCATCCCAGGACATTCTTGGTGCCACCCCACCGGCTGGGGGGTACAGGAACATCTAGCCAGGGACATATGCGCACTGGAGCCAACCTACCCTGACTCATGGATACGGATCTCGTCCTTCAAGCCACAGCCCACTGCGCAAGGCACTGCTTCAGACTGGCCTCGGCTAACAGCTACACCAGGCTGCGCCTCGCGGTAGGGTTACCAGCCCTAACAGCCACCCACTAACCATTTGGTATTGGCCCCGGTCCTCTCATCAGGAATCCCCGAGATCACGCACCACCGATGCCCCGTACACCGCCATAAAGGCCTAAGGACGGCGTGGCTGTTTCATCAAGACTGCGTAACCGGAAGTGAGTATTGTCTCATGCTTGCGACAGGCCTTTGCTGAGGCTCGGGTTGCCTTCCCGATAAGCCTCACCCAGCGGTCACCACGTGGAGGTGCCTGCCGCATGTAACTATACCCCCGTCCCGCCATTACCCGTGTCGGGGCGAGTTTCTTCACGTTGATACTCAAAGCACTGGGCGGAACAAAATAGCCAAATCGAGGCTTTGGCGAAGGAAGCCAATATTGGAAAGCACACGATGGTCAAACACTTTCACATCTCGCACCGCATGCAGGGCCTCCTTGCTAAGCGACGGGCGAAAACAAGCCTGGCATTTGGCTACCTTAAGATAGTCATAGTTACTCTCTTTTGTCTACCTTGACTGTACTAAATGAAGTGTGGCAACTTATATATGAAATTAAACTGCTACGCATAATTTCATCTGTCAGTTTGAAAGATGACTTTAGTGTGTGGTTATCCAAAAGAAATATATTATAGCAATAACACTTAGTCTTGTTGGTATTAGTTGTTACACTGAGAGGTTGTACTACTTGACTAGACTGGACTGGGGAACACTTATCATGTGAAGGCTGATGAGGATACCTCCTAGTTGTCCAGAATTACAATAAGTGGAACATAATTAAACTCATAACCTATATGCTCCTAGGTAACTACTAACAGAACCAATGAAATATGCCCACTTGTTATCTTTTAAGTCAGAAAGATCCGATTTGAGTTGAAGATAATTGAGATAAGAAGGAATGCCTAAGCATTGACTGATGGGAATCTGAATGCTAATACAGATGAGTTCTACCTTCAGGTGAGTGACCTTACAAACTGCAAGCTCTCCACAGACTTTAGCTAGTATCGTGAATGCAAATATTGCCTATTTAGAGCTCAGCACGTGGTCTACTTAATGGACAGTGGAAACTACTTTGACACAGATGTTACTGACTGACTGACTGAAATTCAACGTAGAATTTGGCATAGAAGTACAGCAGTTCTACCTACCACACAAAAGAAGACATAAGAAAAAAACAGACTCGAAAGAACTATACTAAGCGGAAATTTGAAGTGGAAAGAATAGTAACATTATCATTATTATTATTCCTTTGCGTTTCGAGTCGAACATAAGTCTTCAACAACACATCTCCACTTTCTTCTATTTGGTGCTGTCCTCTTCAGCTGGGTCCACAATTGTCCATAATTTCTCATCTCCTCCAACTCTCACGATCTTCTCCATGTCACTCTCACACTGACAACCCACTCGTTTTCCATTCGGGTTCCACTCAAGCGATGTCCTGCACTGTACGCGATGTCCTTCGACAGCGTCCTCAGTGTGTGTCCGATCAATCTACCTCCATTTTCTCCCACATATTTATTGAACGGTAGGTTCTTGATTAGTTCGTTCCCATAGTTTCTTGTCATTCCTCTCTCACTGATCATTTGATCTTAAATATAGAGCTAGAGAAGGCAGTTGTTGATGAAAGTCTGTAACCTGTTGGATATCCTTTTCATGAGGCACAAGACAAGTTTCAGATCCATATAGAAGAACTAACTGACTTGAAATTGGTGTTGAAAATGTGAATCTTCTTTTTTATGCTGAGTCAATGGAGGAGATTTCGAAACCGATTTCACATTGATGAAGGTGTATCTTGCCTTTACGATCATAGCTGGATTTTACATCATCCGTGTTGTCGCCTGTAGTTGAAACTATGCTTCCTGGATAAGTGAAGGAAGTAGTCGCTTTCAATTCTTTTCAATGATGGTGATTGGTGCTAGTTGTTGAGTTTGGTTTTTCATCTCCATTACATCTGTCTTCCCTATGTTCACCTGGAGTCCTGTCTTCGCTGCCAGCCTCTTCGGCCAGTTTGTTGGTTTTCGCCTGCAAGAAGTCTTCGAGTGTGTGTGAGTGTCATGAATTCGCCGGCGAAAAGAGACTCTCCACTGATCTACGCGTTTTGTTTTCATTAATAAACTGGAATCTAAAACACACGAATTAGTAAAATGATCAGAAACACTTGACTCATGATGGTCTGTTTTAAAGCGCGGTTATTCCGGTTGATCGATAAACTACATCAGATTGATTGATCCAGTGTTCTAAAATGGTATAAAAGACCTCATGTTGTATGTGTGTGTGTGTGTGTGACAACAATGAGCGTATTAGTCTTTATCCAGTTATGTTTAAAAAGCTATTTCCGTTATTTTGGGAAACTTCATTAAACACCTAGAAATTGATGATTCTTAGTGAGTAATTCAGAGGTTTCATTCCGGTTATAATTGCCTTCATCATGGATTTGAAACAACGTCACAAGTATTACAAGTTGACGGTTGTATTTCTTGCTGTTAGGACTACAGTTGACTTTTTTGAATAAATAAAGAACGAACATGTTTGCAGGATAATACGTGCTCGTTTTATTTCGTGGATTCTCTCTCTTCAACTGCGTACATCCTAAACAAAATCAATTATAATTTACAAAATGGTGTCTGAAGATACTTTTTTCCAAAATGACCTCGAGTTATAGATAGAAGGTATAGACAACAAAATTTGAAGGATGATTTAATCTAGACGGATTATTTAGTGTCAAAACAATAACTATTTACATAGTAATTAGACAAGTGAGTAGAGTTCAGATTTCTCTTGAAAACAAGAATGGATTAGAGACAAAATACAAGATAGAACAACAGAGTGAATTTACGCATATTCTGCTTGAGAGTTCAGGTGGTTGAGGGTGATTAGTGAAGTAAAATTATAAAATCGATAAAATAATTTAATATAGAGCAGTTTTGGAAACTTAATGGTGAGTTCAACTCAGTCAGTCACTAAGTGGAAATCAAAATCAAGATTGAGTGGAATGTTATGCAACAGAACAAAACACAAAAGCACACAAACAAAGGAAAAAAGCTATGGTTACCAGGTAGGGTGGTGAGAGATTAGTCACACTCTCTTTCTGTATGCATAGGTTGGGTCGAAGTATTATGGTGGCAATTGCTTCTGCCAACCGAAGTAACCGTGGTTTTCTTTGTGTATTGATTATTTTGGAAGCCTGACTAAATTCCACTGAATGTCCCGTGTCAGTCAAATTGGTATTTGGCGATTTCACTTGAGAACACTTTGCCGCCTTTCAAACGGAGACTTTCGGGGATATGTTTGGAGAATCTAGTAGACTCTCTTCTCTCATTCCTTCCTATGTACTTGCTTCCACCAGCGCAAACGAATTGGGAAATGCAGTCGAAGTCCCTATGAGCAGGATACTTATCTACCTTTGGCTTGGTTAGCGAGTATACTGTGTGCCTCCAAAGCCTCAGGATGGTCGGGAGTGGGTGCCTTGCGCTGCGGGTTGACCACCCCTCCGCACACCTCTTGAAATGCTCCCATATGACCGGGCGTCTTACATAGCCTCTCCTGAGGAAGTCCTACTCACTGCCTTCACGTGGCGGAGGTGCTTCTCACCAAAGTGAGAGGGCGAAAGCGGATGCCCGGCGCTCTTCACCGGGTTGACTGTCCATTGGATGACAGTCTAGGGGAGATGGCTAAACCCTGATTCTAAACCTCCAACGACTGGCGTATGAAGCTCACTGGAGCTCACCGGCAGACGTATGGACAAAGGGCTTGTTGGATGTCCTGGATGTCTGGCCCCATTCAAAAAGGCGTATGAACCGAACTCCGGTCACCGGCTGCCAATGGATAGTGGACTCCCTACTCCACTCCTACTGCCTTGTAGGTCACACTTGGCTGTGTAAAGGCTAGAGCTGCACTCTCAAACAAAAGGCCGAGTGGTTCTGGGGACATCACTCGTATCAAATTCCCATGAAACTTCATGAACTCTCTGTTCATGAAGCCGGCTCATCCTCCCGTAGGAGATAGCCGAAGTAAAGTAAAGTAAGTAAGAGTATACTGTGTTGTGAAGTGGATTGAGTGACGGTTGGATTTTATTTGTCAGTGAGTGTAGCCATGGAATTGTCCGGGCCATCGGGAGATAGAAACATGACTGATAATATTGTAAATATTTCATGAGAACTTTATGAGAACACCTTTGAAATTTTGAAGTCCCAGGTCAAAGAGTTAGGCGAAATATCAGCTGATTATGCCAACCAAGTTTAGAGAAATAATAATAAATAATGATAATTCAATCAGACGGACACTATAATTCTATGGATTTGTTGTTTCTATTGTTTTCCTGCAAACAACTTCGTACGGCCAAGGGTGGTGAGCAAACTCTGGTGCTCCTCTCGAAGTACTCTTATGTAGCCGCTCATTCATAACTGCTAATAGGTGAGCCATATTCACTGCCTTCACGCGGCTAGGGTGTTCCTCACAAAAGTCTGGTGCTTACAGTCGGAGTGATGATGGACTTACTAGTGTTTACGTAGGGAAGCTGGCAAATCCTGATTCCAAATATACAGTGTACACACTTAGACTCCAGAATTCGAACGGATCGTATTGCGTATGAACCTGTATTAGTTATAGAAAAGTAGCTCCTTCCACTGCTACGGCGCCTTGTGGATCAGACATCAAGTCAAAGTCTCTCGGGAGAGGGAGGTTCGCCCCTTGAGACAATCACCTGATACGGTCTGAGCGGTCTGGCCTGTACCCTAGCTCTTGCACAAACTATCATATTATGTTCTCCTAATTTTTATTTATAATTTTGTCTTCGTCCTCGTTCGATTTCTCCAACGAATCAGTAGTGGTCAGAGAAACACAACAGTTCTCAATCAGTACTTAACTAACTTCCCTCTATGAGTATTATATTTTTACATTTTGATTACTCACTGTTTGTAGCCTTCCGCCTATTTCTCATCAATCATTTTCATCTTAATCAATGTTTAATATTTCAGGTGTCTAGTAAATCACCTATCAAGCCTGTTAAATCGCCTCGAAATGTGTCAGGTGGTGTAATGTCAGCTAATTTAGATCTCAGTACATCGAATGGGGCTTGTACACTGTGTTCATTAGATAGTTCAAAAACAATATTATCATCAAGTACTCCATTGTCTAGTTTTACCGGTAATAATATGCATCAGAAACCGGTGCACAATTCCAATTCGCCAACAAACAACAGTCAATGGTTATTAAATCGTAGTAATATTAGAATTAGTAGTAGTAGTAAAAATATATCTCCTATACCTGTGGTTAACAATAATAATAATAATGATGTTGATAATGATAATGAAATAGGCTGGTTGCATCAATGTTCAGAACCTATCAGAACACCTGGAAAAAAGAATCGTAGTGTAGCTTTGAATTCCATTGAAACCACCATCCCGATCACTGCTGCTGGAGATTGTTTGCAACAGAATTCTTCTAATCCACCTGCCAATTTTACTCCTGATCACAAAAAGAATTCTAGAATTGTGATAGATTTGGTAAGTGATATTTCTTTTTTTTTTTATTAAAAGTTCAATGTATTCAAATTTTAATTATATTTTTTATAGTATTTATTGTAAGTTAGAGTGTGCATCGGTGGTGGTGGCATAGGGGTGTAGGAATGCTTGCAGACCAAGCCTCATGTAGTCCGGGGTTCGGTCCCCGGCCACCGGTATACTCCTGTAACCTCGCTAAGCCAGTAATACGACTGGTAAAGAGGGAAAGTTGGGCTATGTGAGGCTAGCAAGCCTATCCCGTAAAAATAATAGACATCACTGCTACGAAAACTTCAAAGGTCTCTCTAGCTTGAAGCCCCCTATGTTCCACTAGGAACGTGAAGGAAAGCAAACAAAACAAAATATTGTAAGGTAGAAAAATGTTTGGTCAACAACGATTTTTATCGACAACTGCAGTGTATATGTATAAGGTGAAGATGGAACAGATATACGCTGCTATGGAGACCGTTGAGTGACATAGCGGTCGAAGTGGAACTCATACGAGAAAAAGACGATGTGAATATGGGTGACATGGAGTAAATCGTGTGAGGAGAAGATGAAAGCTTTTGCACAATTGTGGAACGGCTACAGAGAACGGGACAAAGTGATGATGTACTGTTGGAGATCTGTGTTCTCCTCGGAAGCCACCCAACGGAATAATAGTACAGTTCATAGACTGGTACAAGGTGTAACTGAATTTTAACTAATAACCTGGCTTCGAATTTTGATCACGGATTAGTATCATTTAAGGAACCATAGGAAATCACGGGTGATTAAAACGTTGTTTCGTCGTAGTTTCGGACTCTTCATCAATACGCATCCATAACCGGAGTTGGAATCGAACTCAAGCTAGCTGACTGACTACTCAGTCACTGAGAGGAAATCCAATGACTGGCTCATGAATTTCAACCTCTGTGAATTCACGATTTTCAGCGCTACCGTTAGCCAACATCATTGCCGAGTTATATGTTCTCACTCCCTATCTGGTGGACCCCTCTGGTTACTATTTCCAACTAGACCTCCAAATAACTTTTTCCTGTAGTTGGTCACTAGTGAGCATCCGACTAGTTTTTATGTGTTAGTTTGGAGAGTTTTGATTATTTGACAGAGGTTAGAATTCCTAGGCTATTGAATTCCGTCGCAGTGACTGAATAATCATGGAGGTTGGCAGTGTAATCTGAAGGTCCCTAAGTGCTCGATCAACTTTCGGTTGATGGGTATATACTGTTGAACCGTCTTAAACTAGCGTGGAACAGCCGGTGGCTCTCCAGTACTTCCTGCTGGTTTCCAATAGTTCTCCAACTGCTGATATCGTTCCACGATCAAAGTTGAAACCAATTATATCCCTACAAAATGACACTTGAAAAGTAAACTGTCTTAGCAGTTGGATGATTGTTCCAATAAAATTCTAAGCATATTCTTTTTCCACTAGTAATTGTTTCCGATTATCTGTGTGCCTCGGTGGCACGGCGGTTAGGACTCGCGCCGAACATGCACATGGTCCGGGATTCGATCCCCTGTCGACGCACACCTGATATCAGTGGTCGGCCTGCAAAATTTGGGCTACCGATATCACATTCCGGAAATTTCATACTTGTGTCAAAAATACGGTTTGGAATCAAGCTTTAATCAAAATAAATAAATGATATATACCGCTGCTTATTGCCGCAAAAACTATTTCCCCTAAAAGTTTACTCGTGAGGTGACCGACTCACTTAGTGTTTCTGTCTTTATATTTGATTAAATGTGAATATGCTATACAACACTCCACAACGTTCAATTAAGCTATTTCCGTTTCTGTATCTCCCTTTTGTATTACCTGCTGCACAGTTATGCTAGAAGCTCTGGTGGTGAATTGAATGGTGGTTATATTTTTCTTGACGTCCGAAGGAACACTTCGAGGAGCAGTTTAACCCGCCTGCAGCCACGCTCAACTTACCGAGCATTCACCTCCTCCTTAAATGGGATATAAACACTGAGGCTACAAAAGCTTTCTCTAATCTGAAACGAGGCAAAGCAGTGGAACCTGATGGAATGACTCCAGAGGTGTTTAACGACGGTGATGACGATTTTCTGTCTCCGTTAACTAAGGTATTAGGCAATGTCTGGTAATCAGAGATAGTCCTGTCGGGTTGGTGTAGGTGATTGATTATCCCGATATACAAGAAGGGAGGTAAATCGTCTTGTGTTAATCACAGGGGATTAGCTTGACCAATATGGTATCTAAAGTTCTAGGCCCAATAATCATGCATAGATTGAATGGTGCTCGGGAGAAACAAACACAAGAGAACCAGACAGGCTATATACCAGGAAGAGAGTGTATTGATTATATCTTCACCTTTCGATAAATTCTGGAACACAGGCATACTTACCGTTGACGTCCAACAATCGTCATGTTTCTTGATCTAAAGGCGGCATTCGATTCTGTCAACCGAGAAGTATTCTGGCGATGTTTGGCTGGGACGGGAATGCCGAGAAAATACATTGCATTGATCAAGGCACTCTACTCGAACTCATGCAGTCAGCCAGGTGAGAGCTTACGGTGAGTTGTCATCCGAAGTGATAACAACTAGTGGTGTCCGTCAGGCATGTCCACTGTCCCCAATTCTATTCTATTTCATCATAAATGTACTAATGGAATTAACCCCAACTCACTTCAGAGACTCAGGGATTGACTTGTTACCAAAAAGGAATAATCTCGCTGACTTCAAATGTGCAGATGATATAGTCCTGCCTCCTAGGTGAAGACGCTGACAAAATGCAGAGTCTTCTGAACACCTTGAGCTGCAATCTGCGAATGTTTGGCATGTGATTCGCTTTCCTGGTCAAATGTACGATGATGCTACAGGACTCGACTGGACTACATCGACTCACTCCTAGCTTAGAAATAAGAAGTGAAGTGGTAGAGCGTGTTGACCACTTCACTTATTTGGGAAGCTGCATCAGCCAACGCCAGCGGGTTGATCGCTGACGAAATCTCAGCATGGATACGGAAGGCTCGTTTCGCGTGCGCCAGTTTACGCCATCTCTGGCGTAGATGTGATATCCGGTCGTGGAACAAAGGGCGTCTTTACTTCTCAACAGCTCGACAGTGAGTGAGACGGCTATTGAAAGTGGAAGACATGAACAACCATGTTAGCTAGCTGTCGTTGATCATAGGTGTCTGCGTTTTTTCTCCCGTGTTAGGTGGTAGGTGTAATACGGTGAGCAATATTGAGGTGAAGAATGGTACGTAGGTGGGGGGGGGGGAATCAATCGATGAGGTTGCAAAGTTTCATCGATTGAGAGAGAGAGAGATGGTTAGGACGTGTGACGCACACATGTCTAGCCATTGATCGCCTTCCTCGACAACAGGCACTGTTAGCTGCCGACATTGGATTAATCAAGTTGTTGGGAAAGAGCTAGTGGTTGGTGGTCAAACCAAAACATGGCATCATCAGTCAATCCCGGCCGACAACTGCTACCTTGTCGTGGCGGTTGGGCTTGATTGCTGCAGTGACCCAACAGGCTCAACTGGCTGGGGCTCATGTTTCTGCAGGTCCTACCATGTCAGGAAGGTTGTTTGGATAGCGGTTAGACTAAAAGCAGTTACCGTAGAGTACATGGGCTCCAGAATCCAATCGGATCAAGTGGTGTATGAACTTATATTGGTGACCGGCAACCGTGGAAACGTAGCTCCTGACGCTGCTCCGCTACCTTGTGGATTAGACTCCAAGTCAAAGCAAAGGCTCTAGGGTGGTCCCTTAAGAAAACCACCTGGTTCGGTCTGGGCGCCTGGGCAGTATCCCAGCCCTCACACAATAAATGAAATGAAGCAACAAACTATCAGTGAAACTTATCGCGCACTCATAACAATGCTTTCAAGCATTAATGATGTCTCAGGTAACACATCTCTTTCCAACCTTACTTTTATTTTTTTACATAGACTCCTGTATTTTACCTTTGCTAACCTTGACGTCTCCACTTTTGACAGCCTTTTGCCTTTGTCTGAATTCCCAGCCTATCGGTGCCGTTTCGAGATGTTAGTGAGTAGCCTTCAAAATGGTTGTCCCCAATGCGACATCTAACACATATATCCTGAAACCGCGTGCCGCCTTCAAACTGGCCACCTACAATGTTCAGACACTGATGCAAACTGGACAACAGGTGGGGTTGGTAAGATCATTGAAAAGCCACTCTATCGATGTCTGCTGCATTTCGGAGTAAAGTGCTTCGATTATCCTCTCCATCTGAAAGTTCTAGTAGTATGTATCACCTGCGCTTGCCTGGGGACCGTGTGTCGTCGGTGTCGCACTAAGCCCTAGAGCCGAAGCTACATTACTCGATTGGATCCCCACTAACAGTCGTTTATGTGCTGTGAGGCTGGAGGGTTATACGAAAGTGAGGATTGGTAAGCCAGATAGGCGGTGTCTATTTGTTGTCTCTGCCTATGCGCCGACGGATTGCCGCCCGGATGTAATTAGGGATGAGTTCTATTACCAGCTGAGCGATCTCTTGAAACAGGGTGGTCGGAAGGAAATCGTAATGCTGGCTAGGGACTTGAATGCACACGTTGGGGGTCTAAGCTAAGAGGAGAATCGTCTAGGTGGTCAGTGGGGTATACATGGTCGCAGGTCAGATAATATGGACCGTCTATATTGCGCAGATCACAGCCTATTTCTAGCCAGCACCAACTTCCGGCACAGCCATCGCCGTAGTGCTACCTGGCGTCCTCCCTCTGCGAATCAAGCTTGGACTCAGACTGATCATATTGTTGTGAGTTTCCGGTGGCGAGAATGCATACAAGACTGCCGTTCCTTCTGGAGCACATGCCTGGACTCCGATCATGCGTTAGTGTGTGCCAGGTTCGTCTTGCGACGTCTAAACGTTGATGTGAGCAAACTAGTAGCACCAGCTACTTCTTTGAAATACCAGAATTAGTTGCAATCACTGTTTGCTAGCAACCCCCAAGTTTTATAGAGTATTGGCTTCATTTGCAAGACGCCATGCAAATGGCGAGTGTAGCCGCTTGCGGCTTGAAAGAATGCTCCGCTAAAAACCACTGGATTCCTGCAAGTTCCGTGCAACTCCTGGATAAACGCCAGTCCATTCCGGCTGGCAGCGAATACAGCAATAAGCGAAAGGCGCTTACGCACAAGATTAGACAGTGTTTAAGTAAGGACCGCGAAACCTAGTGGTCAGAATGTGCCAATTCATGGGCCATTGGATCTCTCTAGTCTTGTAACCAGAAGGTCCTGGGTTCGAACTCCGGTGGGTGCGTACCGCCGAAGAGTCACAAACTAGGACGAAACAACTGTCCAGTACTACCAGGTTTTCCAGTGGTTCTCTAGCTGGTGTCAGCTCATGATGAAATCCTGCAACCAATCAGTGAGATCCCTACAAACCGATACTTGAATATAAGTCGTTTAATCTAATCATATAGTGTACAATACACCATGCATTGTACTTCCCTATTGTATTTAGAGCATGAGTATTACATATAATTTCGTGCCCGAAATGCTATTTATTTACACTACACAAGCTCTATGTGCTTTCAAATTTCAATAGTCGAACATATTCAGCCATAACGTCGTCTCACTTCTTGTTCGACTACTTTTAAATGGGAAAGTAGAAGCCATTTTTAGTAGACAAAACTTACTGGCTATATACAGTCCAAGTGAGACATGGTGCTTGTCCAACGTTTCGCTCTTTTCCAGGATTACCACTGACTACTTGTAAATTATTAGGGGAGATTTCGGACATTATCGATTCAAATTTCCTACCTGATTGATTGCTTGTCAAACTCTCCGCCGTTGAACCACGGATGGAGATTGTGTTTCTATTTTCAAGTCAGTTTTTGTCGTTTTATTTATTGTACTGTAACAGAATAGTATAATTTATCATATGAACACTTTCTCTTCAAATTTTTTTTTTTGAATTTTATTTTTGTAGACTCTGTCTCCATCAGATGGTGATGACGATGATAGTGGTGGTGGTGGTGGCGGCGATAAGTTACGCAAAAGTCCAAAATCTAAACGTGACCGGAGTCGACCTGCAGTTCACAGACAAACTCCTCTAATTAAATCGACAAAATCTTCACCGTGCGAAGATAAATATTCAAAAAGTCATAAAACAAAACAATCTTCTTTATCAGTGCTTCACACTTCTTCTGTTATCGACTCATTTTCTGATATGCCAATAATAACAGCACAGGATTATAATAATGATGTTGACGATGAATCCCCTTCGGGTTGTCGAAATTCTCCTCTGCTAAAATTCGCTCAACGGCGAAGATCACGCTCAGAAGAGCCATCTAGGGAACTGCGTAACTGTGATATTACCCCTGTAAAAATGATTAGCAATTATTGTGAAAATGTTAATAATAATGATGATAATAGCATTATTGATTGTGTTGCGTCACCAGATTCATCATTTGTGAATAACAACAATAGGATGATGAACAGATGTACGACAAATGATGCTGATGATGGTGATGACGGTAGTATTACTCAATCTCCTGGCGCCTCCAACACAGATTTACGCTGGTCTTCAGCAGGAAATAAGAATAAATGTAGGTTCCTTTTTTTTCGACTGCTTGTCTGTCTGTCTGTCTGTTTTGTTTACGACATAGAACTTTGCACCGATGTGCGGGAGTTCAAGTCGCCACACTCCCTCCATGTAGCACACACAGCAAGCGAAGAAGAAAGTAGGAGAAATGCATATTAGAGAGAGACAGTAAACAGAGGTGTGAGACAAAGGAATAGTAATAACGAAGAACAAAACAGTTTCATTGGAAATCATAAGTCATAAGGGGTCGATGCATCTGCGCTAGCCATTGACAACGATTTTTAGCCATGTCACCAATCGTTTCCAGCCTTCATTGGTTTTTTACCGTCCCGAAGACCCCAACCAGTCAGGAAGTCTACACCTTCCTACATGGCTTAAACTAACTGTTGTGGATTTCATTGACTGGTGTCATGTTTTGGTTTGACCGCCACTGGCTAGCTCTTTTCCAGCCTGGCCCTATATCAGCTAACATTGCCCGTTGTCGAGGAAGGCGATGACTAGGCATACGTAACACGTGTCCTTACCATTTCAGTCGAAGTAATTTCACAGTCTCGTCAATTGATTTCCCCTCCTTACCTACCACTTGACGCCTAACCTCAATATTTCTCACCTTATTATACCACCACCTGACACGGGAGATAGAACGCAGACAGCTATCATCAAAGACAGCTAATCTTTTCATGTCTTCCGCTCTCAATGGCCAGGTCTCACAGCCATAAAGGAGGACGGAGCGGATTGATGAGCAGTACACCCGCCCTTTGGTCGATAGCCAGTCGGATATCACGTGTACTAAGCCAGAGACTGTGTAAACTGGCATATGCGAAACTAGCCCTATGTATCCGTGCTGATATTTCGACTGCTTAATATTGTTTGAATTGAATTTGAACAATTTAACATTTTTTCAGCTGACAATTTAGATATAAGGATAAAACTTGAGCATTGTGGCACGGTAGAGTGTATAACTCCATTGTGATGTTATACAGTAAGCGATATATACATGTCTCTATTACTTGCATTGAGTCATTTCTGTTGCATGTGTTGGGTGTAGACTCGGTAAACCAGGCAGGATTCATTTATCAATCTGTCTCGCTCTCCACCTACCTATATTACTTTTTCGAATTTTAACTGTGTCCCCGCACTATTGGATAATAGTTAGTTATCATGTGTTTAACATACACACGCACACAGTATACAGTCCTTTTCTTATTTCTCTACGGAATTTCTGTGCTTCTGCCTAATTTCGAGCACTCAAAACCCCGAAGCTTGTTTTCTGTCCATCTTGGTGTAGATTTCGTCACTGACATTGCGTCAGTGGCACAGGGGTTAGGACTTTCGCCGACCATGCACATGGTCTGCGGTTCGATCCCCTGCCCGACACCCACCTGATATCAATGGTCGGCCTACAAAATTTGGGCTACTGATAACACATTCTGAAAATTCCATGCTTGTACCAAAAGTATTGTGTGGTTTCAAGCTATAGTCAAAGATAAAATAAAGAAATATCCAAAACCAGGAAGCACACTAGACAAGTCGTTTCATCCTGATTTAAGGCTGTTCAGCCAGGGCAGTAGTAGGGGCTGGACTTGCTTCTTTTGCACACAGAGCACTGGTTGTTTCACGCGAACTGCAATAGCCTCCGCTGTTTAGAGCATGCAGTGCTTCGATGTTTTTGGCAATTTATAAGACACCCGATAGATGATAGAGAAGGATTCTTCAACGCTGGCTTTGTGGCCGATTCCCACCAGATGGTCCAATGTCGAACTGTTTATGGTTTTCACTACACCTTTACTTAGTCCTAGTGGGAGATGTTCTCGAGTGAGCACGAAAAATCAGGTTCCTAGAACAACGGCCAATATAACTCGCTCCACAACAAGCGCAGCTGAATTGATAGATAAAATTTGAAGTGACTAGCTAGTCTAGGTACTTCATCTTTCAGTCGAGGTAGCGCCATTAGAAGTTCTTTGAACTGATTTTCTTAATTTCTTCGTAATTATTTCACTTGGTGTATATCGCCCTTGAATTGTAGTCGTATATAAAGAGGCTTCTTTTGTTTACGGAGAGTGAGTGCATAGTCCTTTTCCAGTTTTTTATAAAAAATTTTTTCCTATTTCAGATGGTATGATTACAAAATCAGCACCAAACAGTCCTTATACACCAAATCCCATTAAGGATAATTGTTCATTCGGTAGAATATCTTTACGTCGTCGAGCTATTCTACGCCTTCCAGTAACACCGTCTAAACGTGCAGCAGGACAATCGAATCGTCAACGTAGTGCTGCCAATTCACCAGCATCGCGTAATCCACTCCAATCTACTCCAAGTGGTTCAAATTCTCCAACTGTTGCAAAATCCTCCTCCTCCTCCGCCGCCGCCTCATCATCGTCATCACTATGCAAAAATAATTCAATGTCGTCAACTAAACAATCTTTTATTGATCATAATCATAATAACAATAACCATGGTAATTCGGTGATTGACAACAATTCAAATTGAATGTCATGTATGTAGAATAATTAAAAAGTACCCAGCTTGTGTCGTCGTTGTTTTGCATTCAATCAGTCAATGGTGAATATTTTTGAACTAGAGGCGAAGAAGAGAACTACAGCCACCTAAAGCGTATGCTATTTCTTTTATTTTAAAAGAATCCTTTTCTCTTTCATCATTTTCCTACTTTTAGTATTATTACTACTACTATTACTATTACTACTACAAGTACTGCGACCTTGACAATGACAACAGATATAGATAGCCCCAACAATGATAGTGATTGATTTTTATTAATTCTTATTTACTTTTTTTCATTTTTTATGCTATAGTCATGATTTATATATATTTATTCACTTATTTATTTTTGAACATTATTACATTATTAAGAAGTAGTTTTCGCATCCTTTTTTATAATTCAAAATTTGACGTATTCTTCACTCCTTTTAGATGATGAAAATCATACCAAATGTGTAATAAATGACTGTGTGTGTGTGTGTGCGTGTGTGTTGTACACTACTCCCACTTATCACACAAACACCCACTCACCCACCCACCGACATCCACACTGACACGCCCACGCAGAGGCATATCTATCTGCGGTGTTCTTACCATTATTTATTTTTTTGTCCTCTCTCTATCTCTCATATATGATTTGTATTCATTACATTGACGACATTAATTATTTTGGGGATTTTTTTGTGTATCACAGAGCTCTTATTTTTTATGCCTGAAAGGAAAAAGAACGTCTTTCTACTACTGTGTTACTTACTTACTGTGTATATCCATCCCTGAACACAATTTATAAAATGTATGTATATATATTTATACTATGTGTATATTATCTATTGGAAGACAAAACACAAAGTGATAATTTAGTGGTTTATATTGTGTTATCATTATGATCAGTAATGTTGGTGTTAGTGTTGGTGTTGATATTGGTAGTAGTGGTAGTGGTAGTGACTGACAATCATTATTAGGACATTTCACGTTTCTACTGCACTGTTATCTGGTTTTATACTACTTTACTAAGAATGTGCGTACGTGAGAGCGCGTGCGTGTGTGTATGAATGTGGATGTGTACATATATAATTAGTCGTAATAAAATAACTGCCAGTTTGTATTACTATTCTGATATACATATCATTTCTATTGATTATGATTATTGTTATTCATGGTGTGCGTGTGTGTGTATGTGTGTGGGTGTTATTGCGTATTTTATGACATAATAGACTATCTATAATTGACTGACTGACTGATTTAGCGAGTGTTTTTGGCCCAGAAGAACCTTGAGGAAAGATGTAGCAGTTCAGGTTGCTAAACTCTTCATTAGCACCCTATCCCAGCTTTTACCCCCCCCCCGCCACACACACCCGCCTTTAAAGGAACTGTCATAAACGGAACTGGACGACAGGAAGAATAATGGGGATTTGATGCGTCTGGAAGTAGTTCATAAGGAGTGAATGATTTTAGATCATACTGGCAACATTCTCCAGCCATTGGATGCCAACCAGGTGGTCTCCGTGTTGGTTTATAGGGATTTGATTGGTTACACGATTTCATCATGAGCTGACATTGGCTAGAGAACCATTGGAAAACCTACGGGGAGTACTGGACAGCTGTTTCAATTGTCCTAGTTTGGGACTCTTCATCAGTACGCACCCACTGGGGTTCGAACCCAGGACCTTCTGGTTACAAGGCGGGCTCGTAGACCAGGTGTGTGTGACACGAGCTTGCAGGTCGAGTGTGAGGACAAATACTCGCCACGGAAGACATTGGCTAGTGGTCGCGCTGTGTCGTGAATTGGCAGAAGTTAGAATTCATGGGCCATTGGATCGGGTCCCAGTGGCTTAATGTTCTACGAGTTCGCCTTGTAACCATAAGGTCCTGGGTTCGAACCCCTGTGGTGGGTGAGTACTGCCGGAGTCCCAAACTAGGCTGACGAAACAGTTGTCGAGTACTCCCAGGTTTTCCATTGGTTCTCTAACCAGGTAGTCTCTACGTGACTGGCTTGAACCACCTGTCAGACACTAGGTGAATTGATGTCATGTCCTGATTTATTATTTTTATTCCCTTGGGTGCCGGATGGAACATAGGGCTTCATCAGAGCATCTCTATTTCACGCCATTCTCTGCAATCAGTCCTCTTTAGAGCTGGCTAGCTCCACGACTACGCATACGCCTCTCCACCTCTCACTCGATCTCCTCTCCATGCAACCCTCAGACTCCCAACTCGTTTATTCCTATTCGGATCCCACTCGAAAGATTGGCACACGATGTTACTTTTCAACTAAGGTTGGTTCGTTCCCAGACTAATTTGTTGTTAATTCTTTCAGACCATTTATTTGATCATCAATATCGAATAATTTGAAGGCAGTTGTTGACTGAAAGCCTACAGCCTGTTGGAAATGCTTTTGGTAATGATGCACCCAATCTCTGACTTGTATACGGAAGAACTGACTTAACATTCGTGTTGAAAATTCGAATTTTGTTCCCTAATGTTCAGTGCAGCATATTTCCATACTGATTTCAGTGTGACTTGATTTGATTTGATCATTCCCAACTCTCATTCAATTGAATCCTAAGTCACTTATCATTACTGGACGAGGGAGTTGATAGCTCAGCATGCGCATAATACGTATCCCAGCTATTTTAATTGATTTCGTTTCACAACCTTATGGTCCCACTTACTCTTTATTACTTAACACTCCACGCTTATCCCCATTATTACGGAACATATTATATGACTTAACAAGGGAGTTAGAATGCAAACATATTCATGGTTAATGAAGCTTGTTATCCGATTGGACGTTGATTGCTCCAGTGAGGAGAGTAATAGTAGTGCTTTTTCTGACCCTAGTTGGAGAGTTAAAGTGTGGAGGTGAACTTACTTGTGGATGAGTATTAACATTGGGAGGGAAGCAAGGAAATGAAGGTAACTGGTGATCAGGAAAGCCTTGTGTGTTTCCCGGTTGCCCACACCGTGGGAACCAAATAAACGATTATGTGCGACTAATATGATTTACAAATCTCACTTGTTTGTTAGATAGATGTAGGGAATCAATAGTAAGATGGAGAACCTTGGATTCGTGCTTACTGGCTCTCGTCAGTCAGGAGTATCTATAACCTGGAGGGAACTGATGCTCTTCTGTGATACGAATCTGCATTATCTAGCGTAACAGTCGGTTGCGTTACCAGTGAGCTATTCGGACTCATGATTTATTTACGTAGTACTGTGATTAACGTATCAGCGGCACTGAACACCAGGTCAACGGCGGATGTAGTTATAAGTTAACCATTGAGGAGGTTACCACTCCTTCTGGGATGTCTGCTTAGACTAAAATCATACCCTTGTGCCTTCTCATATATGCCTACTACTATATGGACATAGAATAAATAAAGGCGGTTACAAAACTTTCACACCCCTTACGTGACTTGAACACTAAATCGTTATCAAGGGAGAAAAAATAAATAACTTATGTTTTGGCTAGTGTAGTGTAGTTGTAACAACAGAAGACAAGGGCCAGGCAACAGATCGTTTATTAAGGAAAATCAACACATATTTATAGATTTTAATGTACATTATTGTAGATTATTGTTAGTAGAAAATACAGTCTTTTGATTGATTGTTTCTCACAGAAAGTTAACCTTGCATCTCTTTGTGACTGTGTCAGATCATCCATTTGCTAACTGTATCCACCTACGCAAAGCCTTTGTTCTCCTTTTTCTCACCACCAATATTGGGGACATAAACATTGACGTCGATTACTGTCTACCAACTTTGGCTAGCAGCTAGCTCTCACCACATAATGTGTTGTCTTAGTCAAAATGTGAGAAATGTTAATTATTTATTTCCGTCCCAGTGGCTTTATGGCCTAAGTTTATAAATCATATCGCCTCGTGTGAAACTACAGGCCTTTAATGCACAGCATTGCACCTTAAGTTGATTCCCTAATTTCGTCTAAAATGATTATTACAAATATCCAGTACAATTATTGACTTGTTTTTAGTGTTTCAGTAGCAAGGGATGCTCTCCATCCAAGTGATCCGGGGTTCGATATCTTTCCGTCTGATACACTCCTAAACCTCATCGTTATTATTAAGCCAGGAAATGAGGGAAGGTTAGGTGTGTAAGGCTAGTGGATAACTTCACTGCTATTGAAATTTCGAAGCTTGTCGCCCTCTATGCTCCACTCGGTGTCCAGCTTATTTAGGTTGGATGAATGTTCTTTGTGTTGTTGTCATTTATTTTTATTTATTTAAACTCAGAAAAACTTGGTACAATATGGCACCAAGGAAGATGCGCCACACAATATTGTGTGAGGGCTGAGATACTGCCCGGGCGCCCAGACCGAAGCAGGTGGTTTTCCTAAGGGATTACCCCCGAGCCTTTGACTTGGAGTCTAATCCACAAGGCAGCGGAGCAGCGTCAGGAGCTGCGTTCCCATGGTTGCCGGTGACCCATATGGGTTCATACGCCATTTGATCCGATTGAATTCTGGATCCCATGTACCCCATGGTAACTGCTTTTAGTCTAACCGCTATCCAAACAACCTTCCTGGCATGGTAGGACCTGCAGGGATATGAGTCAAAGCCAGTTGAGCCTGTTGGGTCACTGCAGCATTCAAGCCCGACCACCACGGCAAGGTAGCAGTTATCGGTCGGGTTGTTGTGTATTGTGTTGTTGTATTCTGTGTCTACTGGTAGTGGTTGCTTTTCAATGCATAGATTTTATTGTCTGTCTTGTAAGACACCGTGTCTTCAATGATTACTTCATTCTGAAGGGATGATATCTTCGAATTCTTCATGAATGAGATGTGTAACTCTGTCTGTTTTTTGTCTTTGGAGTTATTCTCATCCATAGGTTCATTTGTATTAGTAGTGATTGTTTCATTATGGATAAGATTTTATTTTGATAAAATCACACAGTGGTGTTATACAGTAATATTAACTGATGACGTTTCGAGCACAAATTATTACCGCTCATAATCATCATATCAAGTCACTCACTCACACAACTTTTTATTTCATTTATATACGTCAATAAAAAATTGATGATTAGACATCTGAATAAAATCAATATATATATAACATAAAGTACTTTCGGAACCACTATTAGTGTTATCAATCAAATACAGTCAGGTGGGAAATAAGACGAGTGTTTTTATAGTCAAAATAAGTAACTTGTTGCAATGTTATAATGTATGTGAATTGAAATAGAATTTTAAGATTATTTATTATCCTCCTCTGATTTAACTGGTGGTAATAATATCTTCCATACGTATCTCTGGTATTTGTATTGACTCGTTTCTGTTGCATGTGTTGGGTGTAGATTATTCGATGAACCAGGACTCAGTAATCAACTACCTCTCTGTCTCCACCTACCTATATTACTTCTTAGAATTTTGATTCTGTCCCACCCACTCTATTGTGTGGTTGTGTGTTAATACGTGCAGTGGGATTGCTGAGCACTTTTCTAAATTACTTGTCTTCGTGGGATCAATCATTCTAACCCTAGCTAAATTCTTATGTTCTGACAGTCTGACTACCCCCGATCTACTAGTTTGACTAACTTATGTAGTTCACCTAACCCACAGTCATTGCAAGGTGTTTCGCAAGTTATATTTTGTTTAATTGGGTCCACCGGGTCTTTCAGCTTGTCTCTGGTCTTTTTGCTGTCACGCTAATAAGGGAATATTTCTACAGTAACTTTTAGGATACTGAATTATTTTGGAATAGAGAGATACTTCACGTGAACCGACGCGACATTCATTTCATTCTGATGTGTGTTCAGATTGAAGTTGCTGATGACAGAAGGGAAGATCGGATCAACGCCGTTTGTAATTTTTATACAATAAATCGAGGTGAAATTTCTCTACAGATTCTTTTAGAAATCGAAATCACAATATTTGTCCTGCATGATATACCATAAATGGTAATTAAGAAAGCAAAGAAAGCAAAGTATTAGGCTATTTACTAGTGTATTATTGATATAAGTATAAAATCTTGGGCACTGTGGTAGAGTATAACTCCATTACGGATAAGGTTTTATTTTGATAAATCACACAGTGATGTTGTACAGTAATATTAACCGATGACGTTTCGAGCACAAACTATTGCTCATAGTCATATCAAGTTACGCACTCACACAACTTCTTTCCTTCATTTATATACATGAGTGGAATCGATTAGATATTGGAATAAAATTCAATATGAGATAATGTACATTCAGAAATAATAATACGACTGTTATTGATCAATTACAATACACCTTCATCAGTCTGAAATCAGTTTGCAAATCTTCTGCACTTTCTCAGCATAAATAACTAGATTCGGATTCTGTTCAACATCAATGTGAACTCAGTCAATTCTTCTATACGGGTCAGAAACTTGCACTGTGTATCACGGAAAGCATTTCCAACAGGCTACCGCAGACTTTTATCAACATTTGACTACACTAGCTGCCTATTTGAAGATCAAATAGGCGGAAAGAATCGGCAACCAGAAACTCTGGGAGTGAACCAATCAAGAACCTATCCTTCATCAAATGTGTTGATAGATAGGTCACACACTGAGGTGACCGTCCAATGACATTCCGTGCTAGGTCATAACTCGAATGGGAAGCGACTAGTGGGTAGTCAGTGTGAGAGTGACATCGTGGAGATGAGAGATTATAGGCAATCGTGGGCCTAGATGAAGAGGGCAGTAGAGAGTAGAAGAAAGTAGAGATGTGTTGTTGAAGCCCACCTATGTTCCACTCGGAACCCAAGGAAACGATTTCACTATGTGGTTTTATTTTATTCTCATTCGTCTTGCTGAATTTTTTCTGATAAGTTGATCTTATCGAAGCGTTTGACTTGAGTAGTGTTACTTAGTTTCTTTGTAATCTTATGGTAGTATGATTAGTTTAGGTTACTAAACAACGGTCGTTAGGATGGCTGAGCGGTCCAGGGTGGTTCGTTCAGCTCGTACTTTACTATTTAGACATGGGCTCGTATCCGACTGCTGATTCCAGCATGCAGTGCGTTGTCAGTTTATTATTGTCATTATAATATTAAAACACAAACATGGTGTAACAACAGAAGACAAGGGCCAGGCAACAGATCAGTTTTATTACGAAAACCAACAGGTATTTATATGTTTTTTACGTACATTAATAGGCTTCTGCCCACAGAAAGAAGGCGGTCTTCTGATTGGTTGTTTGCAAACAAACGCAGTCTTCTGCTTTCTCGTTTTCGATATTTCTCGGAAATGCGAGCCACTTGTCTGCGAATCATATTTGTCCACGTCTAGGTCAGCTGTGATCGGTTGTTGAATCAGCCTAGATTAATTTCTACCAATCAGCGTAGATCAATGTCTACCAATCGGCTAGCAGCTTGCTCTCACCACAATGGTACTTTATCGGGTCCCAACAGATACTATATACACAAAATGTCATAGTTTGTGCGTGGGTTGGGACAATTCCCAGACTGAAGTAGGTCATTGTGTTAATCGGTCATCCCTTGAGTAGTGGAGCTGCGTTCCCTTCTCATGGTTTCAGGTGATCAAAGCAGGTTCATACGTCATTCGATCCGTCCGAATTTTGCAGTTCTTGTACACCATTGTAGGCTTGGAATCAGAGTTTACCAGCTAGCTACTCCCCCCATGGGTAGACCAGTATATCTGCCAGTCCGGTTGCAATGGCTATGGTACGTACTGCGCATGCCTAACCATCGCCTCCCCTGACGGGCATTACTAGCTGATATAGGTGCAGGTTGGAAAAGAGTAGGTGGTGGCTAAACAAAAACATGGCATCAGTCCATGAAATCCTTGACAGTTAAACTGAGTCAGGTAGGGAGATGCAGACTTCCTGGTTGGGGCCCGCCCTCGGGACTCTAAGAATCAATGGCTGGAGACAATAGGTGACATGGCTCAAAATCGTTGTCAATGGCTTACGCAGATGTATTCAGTCCCTGTAATCTTTCATATTCCTTTCTACCATTACTCATTCTGTTTCACTCTTATACTTGTCAAAACTCTATTGATTCTCTTCACTCATTTTCTTGTCTACCTTTGTGTGCTATTTGGAACGTGGCAACTCAAACTGCTGCACTTCGGTGCCAAGTTCTATGTTGAATCCAGCCAGCCAGCCGGTTGCAATTGCCAGGCCAGACGTTCGGATATGCCCTTCGACTTATGTGCAGAGAACACCGCCACGTGGCAGTAGTTATGGATAAGACTTACTTGGCTGGCAGAGGCGGCTATGAACGTGTAGCCACATGAGAGAGCATTTCAAAAAAAGGAAGACCACGTGAAGGCAGTGGGACGTCGTCGTTAGTTCAATGGTACCGATAGTCACTAACCACGCCATGCAGAAAGTCTGAGTTTGATTCCCTGCTGACTGATTCGTAAACCTCGCCTAATTTACTGGCGGGTAATCGCTCTCCAAAAAGAGGGAGGAAAGTTAGGCGTGAGGCTAGAATCCCCATTTATCCCTCTAGGAATAACACTGGTACTTAAGCTTTATGTTCAATTGAGCTGACGGATAGTACGCCCATCTGTTATTACTAGGAGCATATCTCCGAGCATTTTTACGACTTTAGGGATTTATGCCTAAGGTTGTTTGAATCGGTATACCTCTGTAATTAGATAATCTATTGACTTCTCATTTCTGCTTGTTTTTTTACAGCCCGGATTGTTTAACACTATATGGCTACTTTCAACAACAACCATGATAATGCTGCTGGAAATAATAACACTCAAATATGGTCAGTAGTAGGCAATGGTGGTGACGCAATAGATGAGTCATTTTGGGATGATAGTGATTTACTTGCTGAATATGCTCAAGTTGAGTCAGTTGTTAAGGTATGTCTCAATTTTTAGTGATTGACTATGAATTACTATTTTTGCCCTATCCATACTTTTATTATTGTTTTCTTTGCGAAATGCATAAGATTTGGTCAAGTTAAACTTTTTTTTTATCCTTCACGTTCCCCAGTGGAACATAGGGCTTCAAGCTACAGGCTTGAAGTTTCTGTAGCAGTGTTTATTTTTTACAGGATGGGGTTGCTAGCCTCATGCCCAACCTTTCCTCTTCACCAGCATTATTTCTGGCTTAGAGAGGTAAAGGAGTGCGTCGGCCGGGGTTCGAACCCCGGACCATGTGTGTGGTCGGCGAGCGTCCTAACCGCTATGCCACCGACGGACAAGTTAAACTTTAAGCACCACTAACTACTAGTGGACAACGATCAGCATAAATGGGAGGAACCTGAAAGAAACAACCTCCTTCACCCACCTAGCTGGGAAGCATCGTTTCAACTACAGGCCGGCGGAACTGACGAGGATATCAAAGCAAGAATCGGAAAAGCAAGACAAGCTTTCACTACTCTCAAGTCTGTGTGGAGGTCAAAAGCACTACTCAGCATCAAAAATAAGATCCGGATTTTCAACTCCAATGTGAAGTCAGTCAGTGCTACTATACGGATCAGAGACTTGGCCAGCGCGTCATAAAGAGCATCTCAAAAAAACTACAGACCTTCATTAACAGTTGTCTTCACTCAATACCACTCAAGATCAGATGTCCGGCCAGAAAAGATCAGCAACAGGGATCTCTGGGAGCGAACCAACCAGGAACCACTTGTGAAACAAATAGGCAGGAAGAAATGGAGATGGATTGGCTACACTCGAGGAAACCATCAAGTGACATCACTAGACTAGCCATTGCTCGAGTGGAACCCGGCCTAAAGGGAAGCGGCGAGTTGGTCGTCAGTGCAAGGGTGACTTGGAGGAGGTGATGTGAAGAGGAGGAGATGAAAACGTGTGGGCAGACTTGGAGCCAGGTGAAAACTTTAGCAGAGAACCGAACGCAATGGAGACGCATGACTGAAGCCCTATGTTCGTCTAGGAATTAAAGGAAACAATAATTATAATAATAATAACTACTAGTGGAGTCCGACCGCACCAATGACCCTGAAACACTGACTGAGCAAATTAATGAAACCTGGCAAATAATGTTGTTGTCGTCATTATAAGCTGATATGGGGACCACAATAGGGTTGGTTCGAGTTAAGTAAGGGTTAGTTTGGGGGATATTTTCACGTTATTGTTAGGTTAGGGAAAGATTAGGTTTATTGTTAGGGTTAGAAGACCTAAATAATTACAAGCATAGCATGTGTGGTTAAATTACTCTGCTGATATAATAATAGAACTTGTGCACTGTGGTGGTAGAGTATAATTCCATTGTGGGTAAAATTTATTTTGATAAAGTCTCACTGATGACGTTTCGACCACAATTTATTGCTCAATAAATATTACTACATAACATTATGAGGCTTTATCAAAATAAAATTTACTCACAGTAGAAATATATACTCTGTTGATACTCCCTGTAACAACAGAAGACAACGGCTAGGCAATAGATCGTTTATTTAGGAAATTAACAGATATTTACAGATTTTCATGTACATTAATTATTATAGATTTTTTCTAAGCAAACAAATACAGTCTTCTGATTGGTGGTTTCTCGCTGAACATTAATTTTCCATCGCTTTTTGTGGCTGTTTATTGAAGTTCAGATTATCTATCTGCAAATTGTATCCGCCTACGCAAACAAAGTTTGCTGTGATCGGTTGTTGAATCAGTCTTTGTTCTCGTTCTTATTTTTCTCACGACCAATATTGGGGACATAAACAACATTGACGTAAATTACTGTCTACCAATTTGGCTAGCAGACAGCTCTCTCACCACACTCCAACTTAAAACAGAGAGCTGTTTTTATCACATGTGAGAGGAAGGTGGTATCCTCTGTAACACTTTTATACGGTTTTTATGCATTTCTTTCATAAATATATATGTATTCTATACACAAAAATGCCTCCTTCACGTGACTGGTGCATTCAAGGTCATTCGCTGATTGATGGTAGTTAGTGGTGCTTAAAGTTTAACTTTGCCTGAGATTTTTATGAATTTTTTTGGAATATTTAGATTGTCGAATTTGTCCTTTTCCTGGTTTCTTCATCAGCGCGCATCGCTGACCCTGTCAGAGATCTGAGCTTAAGTGGCTGAATGATCAGCGAGCTTGACCTCGTTATTTGAGGGTCCTACTCTGGGGGGGGGGTCGTGGATGCGTACTGATGAAGAGTCCCAAAACAGGACGAAACAGCTTTTCAGTATATCCTAGTTTCCTATGGTCTCGTTAATTGACATTAAATCGTGATCAAAACCTAACAATTTTTGAGGTAATTTGACCTGCATGTTATGTAGATTTTTCGGGGGGTAATGTTTATTAAGAAGCCATTAACACTAGGCTTTATTAAAGTTAATAATAATGAATGTTTAATGCGGTTCCTCAGTGGATTTTCGTCACCCTTACCCTAATAAACGAGAAGACTTGTACAACTCACAACTCTTTCATAGAACGATCCATTTTATTACGTAACTCTTCTCTAACAATCGTTTGTGATAACTCATCACTTTTGTAACTACCCTCTTATATCAACATCCAATTCCTCTGAACACCTTTTGTATTGCGTAACTCCACCAAAAACTTATTAATTGTATCTTCGTTTGACAAAGTAAATGTACACACACATACAAAAAATAACCATATATATATTTGCGATTGTACAGCTCCGAAAATGACTTTGCCGAATAGAGACTCTTCGCTGAACTACTGATCTTCTCTCTATGATGTAGTTGACCATGGCACAGAAAGGGGCTGTGCAAAGTTCTTTTTAATACACAGATTTGGCTTGTTCAGATGGATTCCGATTGCCTCTGTAGTGTGTAAAAGTTGCACACGTAGACCGCGATATAGTTTGGGTGAAATACGACAAACAACTGTAAAAGCTTTTTTAGAGTCATTCGATTGTCGGAGGTAATCGGCAGGAAACCTTGGACCTAGGACTGTATTCGATACGTATGATTAGACACTAAACAGTGACTAGTGTAGTATGTCTAGTCCTTTTATTTACTGCAGACTGAATTCTGTCAGTCAGGTTTGCAATGTGGCCACCATGCCACTACTAGGTGACTCGCCATCATGGTACATTCAGGATTGTTGTTATTAGTATTATTAGCACGGTGGCCACATCGCAAACTTGACTGATAGAATTCAGTCTACAGTAAATAAAAGGACTAGACACACCAAACTAGTCACTGTCTAGTGTCCAATCAAACGCATCGAATACAGTCCTACATGAGGTCAATCGCGAGTCCGGATAGCTCAGTGGTAAAGTGTCGGACTCCAGTAATGTCTGGTGACGCGGGTCCGAATCTCAATAAGGACATGAGTTGTTCCTTGAAGGTTGCAGATACGCCTTACTGACTGACTGGTGAGTGCCAACTAACGCGAAACTTAGGTCAGGCAAGGTTTCCTGTGGTCGATTGCCTTCAGCCATCTAATATCATCAGGAAACAATGATGTATATATGCATATATATACATATATATAAGGACAAAATTTACCAGTATCTGATTGGTCTAGAGATTTCTTTGTTAATTATAATTACGATTGTACAGCTCATGAAAATGAATCGTCGAAAAGAAAATTTTCTTCGCTGTTTGTGCCTTTTCTTATGACTCAATATGGGAATATTTCGTTCATATATATACTGCCTTGTGACTGAAAGGTCCCGGGTTCGAACCCTGGTGAGTTCCAAGCTACGACGAAACAGCTGTCCAATACTCCCTGGTTTTCCTATTCGTTCCCTAACTGATATCAGTTCCTGATCAGACCTGTAAGAAATCTCAGTCAATTTGAGAGGAATGATGACAATCTGGCTACAGAAATCAGTATAAAATAATCTATGCTCGTACAACCAAGTACAGGAACTCAACAATACCATACTTGGCCCGTGTTCTAAGCGACAGAGACAATGTTAAGCGTGAAACCTATGACTTGCTTTGTTATTAATAACATAATTTTAGGCTCTTTTATTTCTCTCTTATTCTGTATTCTATAGTGAACTCCTTCTCAAACATACTTAGCTACCTAAATTATTAACATTGGCTTACTTTTTATACTTCACTGTATTTCCTTCTTTTGTGTATCCACTGATTCCGACTATATTAGCACTATGAGTATTACAAAATTTTCCTGTAATTAACCATCATGTAATTATTAGTTTTGTGATTGTTTTTTCTTATTTTTTATTTTGTTTTCGGCAATATTGAACTGACAATCATTGGTTGTGAACGCCATTGTCACCACCTTAAAAATTTTGTATTATGCAGGATTACTCACACTACTACTACTAGAAACACCGCATTAGACCTGATAAAAAACAACCCTGAAATGTTATTTTATGATTGTTTAGAGTTGTTTCAACCAAATTGACTAATCATCTTGGTGATAAACATTCTTAAATATCATTTCATAACTTCTTGTATGACCATAACTATACTGTCACCATGCATAAATATATCATAGCTTCCACTACCCAATACTGAGATATTATTTTATGTTATTTATTTTCCTTTCTACTTCTTGGTGTTTTTTCGCATTTTTTTGTAAAATTACTTTGTGTTTTTCCTGTTTTTTTGCTGTTGGTGTCTTTATTTTTTTGAAATACTCCTTTTAAATGTTTGATAAAATTAGATGCAAATATTGTAGATATGTGCTGAAAATTCCACACTGTAGCACTAGTACTGTTTCTGGAATAAAGCAAATTATTATCATTATTATTATTATTACACATTTTATTCAAAAAATCTTAAGATCAACTATGCTGCTATAGATTATTTATTATCTCAAATATAAACTTTCTCCTTCTTATTCAACCCTTTCTGTGTGTTTTTTCTTCTGTAAATTTCAGGAAAAAGTAATAGAAAAGTATGCGAAAACCTTCTCAAAAAGTAATAATAAATTCCGCCGCAGTAACTTCAATAAGAAATCATCCAAGCCATTTACTGAAGTGAAGGTATGCACACTAAACGTTTGTACTCTCTTGATACACCATTAATGTTGATTATACTTTTGAATTTAGATTTCTTTATTTAACCAGGAAGTACTGAACAGTTATTTCGTCCTGCTTTAAGACCCTTCATCAGCAGACTTACGCATAATTCCACCAGGGACTGGACCTAGAAGTTTGGGGTGGGGTTGGGAGAATTTAGTGATCACTCGTGAATTCTGACTTCTGTTAGTTTGTGATACAGTGCTACTCCCCGTCCCCATCACCTAAACAATGTCACTGATTAGCATGTACTTCACTCTGGCAGGTGGTGACATAAGTGGTGACGAATTCTTGGGAGTGCTGTGTCACAAATTGACAAAAGTTAGAATTTATGGGTCACTAGATTATAATAATAATTATAATTATAATCGGTTGCATATTATAAAGATTTTAATTTTCGGCATTTTTAAACTTTAGTATTGGTCATTTTCCCACCACTGCCTTATGCATTATGTTGTACTTTTGTACGTATTTACTATCTTAGGCTACTTACTACATGGATTGGACCTCAACTATCATAAATTTCACGTATTGGTCAAACTGTAGGACTTATAGCGGTTAACTTAAGAAGCAATATAGACCCCACCAATTGTATTTTAATACTAATCATGATATTCCCGATAGTTGTGGATTGGATTATGCGTCAGACTATGCACTGTGGTATATATATATAGTGCCCACACGTTCTATTTAGATTGTAATTTGTATTATTGATTTCGCATAAATGTTATCATTGATTTCTAAATCCTGAAATATTTTACCTCTGTCTGTTATTGAGACAGATAGGCGGATTAATGTAACGTCAATGTTTACGTCCCAAATCGGGGTCATGAGGAAAGAACACAAGAACAAAGACTAACTCAATAGCCAATCACAGCAGACTTAGTATGGGCGGATACAATTAGCAGATACGTTTGGTCTGACCACAATAGGTGACAGAATAACTTCCAGTGAGAAAACGACCAATCAGAAGACTCTGTTCCTGTGCTAACAATAACGCTAATTATAATGTACATAAAAATCTATAAATAATATCTGCTGATTTTCTCAATAAACGATCTGTTGCCTGGTCCTTGTTTTCTGTCGTTACAACAGATCCACTCATATCTGGTTTCTGTATGTTGTTTATTTTCCAAATTTGCAATTTTGTTACCAGTATGCCCAAGTAGCTCGCCAGAAATCGGAAGGCCTGAACCGATTAGCCTCTGTGATCTGAGTCAAATTGGCTACGTCGATGAAGAACTCGATCGTAAAACAAAAGAAATTGCCGTCTAGTCTTTTGTATCACTTTGATCTGACCTTTAAGCACTACTGGTGGTTGACGTGAGTAGTATCTGACTACTCATTTCATATTAATCAGTAGTATGTGCATCTATGCATTTACGTTCATCTTTCAATTTATTGATTTCAAATTTCATTTGTGAGTTTTTGTTGCTGTTGTAGTTGTTCTTTGTAAAAGCTGTTATCATTATTATTTTTTTGTAATATTTCTGTAGATTCCTTCTACTAAAGATGATAACCAGAATGAAGTTGCTGATTTCGTCGAGTCTGAAACGCCTAATGAACAGTTCACCTGCAATCTAAACTGGATTCCACCGTGTGTAAACCCACCAGAGGAACTATTTTCTCAGTTGCCTTATTCAAGGTAATTTAAAGTGTTGAGTGTTTATCATTTTCAAGTATTGGCTTGTAGGGATTTGATAGACTGGTTACAGGATTTCATCATGAGCTGATGTTAGTTAGAGAACCATTGGAAAACCACCTGGGAGTATTGAACAGCTGTTTCTTCCTAGTCTGGGACTCCTCAGCAGTACGCAACAACCCCACCGGGGTTCGAACCCAGGACCTTCTGGTTACAGGGCTAGCGAGCTCGTAGACCATTAAGCCACTGGGACCCGATCTAATGATCGGCCCATGAGTTCCAGCTTCTGCCAATTCACGACATAGCGCGACCGCTAGCTAATGTCTTCGGCCAGTGTCTTTCCTCACACACACCCGACCTGCTGCACCCTACTGGTCACGGTTTCCCACTAGAACCCCAGGTAACTACCTACCTGAATTATCAGTCACTTGGAACAGATTAATTCTTGTTTAGTCATTTACTTATCTATCAGGCTATGAGTTACATTATATAGACCATTAGATCTGGTTCCAGTGGCCAAATGGTTTACGACCTCGCCTCGCAACTGGAAGATGATCATGGAATCGAATCATGGTGGGTTCTTGGAGGTGCTGATGAAGATTCCCAAACTGGGACGAAACATCTGTTTGTTTGGTGGCCCCCAAAATAATGTCAGCTAGTGATTAAACCTGTAGAAAACTGCCCAGTTATCTAGGCTTATATGTATTTCCGGAATGGGATTCAAACTCGCCACCATTGACCAAAAAATGTTTTTAGAAAGAACAATAGATTGAACGAAGAAATACACATTCCTTATGAATTAGTTCTTCATCATCGACTGGCTCTGCACTACTAATATGTTGTTTTTTACATCAAAATTGTTTACCAATCAAGTGATTATTTTAATAAATTCGTTTTAGATATAGGCGGGGTGGGTGACATTAAGAGGTTAAAGGTCATCATAACAAATAACTAATAGATGTTAGTGGCAAGTTTTAAAAGAGGAGTGAAAATCTATTAATTACGGAGTTCGTAAGGGTTAGCAACGAGTTATTACATAATCAAGAAATTTTTAAAATAGCAATAGTGACTGACTAGGAAGAATAGGATGACTCAGAAGCGTTATGTAAAATACAAACAAGTTAATAGAATTAGCTAGAATTATAGAAATTAACAAAGTCGAAAGATAGTAACTTTTAACTAAAATAACCACTTGATTGGTAAAAAAAACTTTGGTGTAAAAAACTGTATATATTAGTGTAGAGCCAGTCGAAGTTGAGGAACTAACTAAAAAGGAATGCATATTTCTTCGCTCAGTCTGTTGTTTCTTTTCTGAAAAAAATTTTTTGTTCAAGTCAATGAGCCTTGCGTCAGTGATTCAACGGTAGAATATTCGCCAACCACGCACGTGATTTGGGGATTGATCCTCGGCCGGCCTTTATTTAGCAAATCAACAGATATTTATAGATTTTTATGTACATTATTATTAGCGTTATTGTTAGAAGAGAAGCAACGTCTTCTTATTGGTTGTTTTCCTGCTGAAGGTTATTCTGTCATCTCTTTGTTGCCGTTTCTTAAACAGTCCGTTGATATATAACTGCTAATCGTATCCGCCCACTCAAAGTCTGCCGTGATTGATTGTTGAGTTAGTCTTTGTTCTTGTTTTTTTCTCATGACCCTGATTTGAGACGTGAACATTGACGTAATTTGTTGTCTACAATTTTGTCTTGCAGACAGCTCTCACTACACATAAACTTAATAAAAAAGATATCTTAAGGCTGTAAGCAGCTGATGACGAGCCGACGAAATAAACAATGACAGCACTATTTTATTCTGCACAAACTACTGTTGTTCCTTGCTTTATTCAAATATGCCACACAAACTATCCCTTTTGTTTTTTCCTTTTTATCCTGTTTCTTTTTTAGTGAATATAGCTCATTTAATGCTCAGCCGGCTTATACATCATCACAACCTGTCTTTGGGACAGAAGGAGCAAATTTCCCCAAAATTGATCCTATCGCACGTGCTTGGTATGATGCAGGCTACCGGTTGGGTCGTTTACACGCTTTAAAACTGAAAGCGACATCATCTGTGAAGGTTTCAAACTCCTGAAAGCCTCCTTTTTATATCATCATCATTATGTTTCTGGTTTTTGCCTAATCAGTTTTCTATAACACTACAGTGTCTCATATCAAGATTATTCTGAATTTGTATTCTTTGTTAAAATTTCTTATGAGTATATATATAAAACTCATGTTAAAAAGAACCTCCAATATGTTCATACACATACTGTTGATTCAGTATTTTCCATGATGTAAAAATTCATAAATTCATATTTTTAAAGCTGTTAGTTTGCTTTTACAAAACATCAGCAAGAAGACGTCGTCTTTGGTTCACTGTTATGTTGCTGAATGCTTGCTAACTAATATGAGGAAGGTGTCTAGGTTCGACTGTCGACTGACACACTCTTAAACTTCGACTAGTCCACTATTCAACCCGGAAAAGAGAGAAAAATGAATGACTGACTGATTGACTGGTTTCAGCGTAGAACTTTGCACCGGTGTGCATCAGTTCGAGTTGCCACACTTCACTTAGCACATTAAGTAAGAGACGAAAGTAAAAAGAAGTGCAAAACATAGACGGTAAACAGAGATATGAGGTAAAAAGAATAGTAATATCGAAGAACCATATAGTTTTATTGAGTATTACAGGTCACAAGGAGTGGATGTATCTGTATAACGAAATTAAACAAAAATGGAGACCGTGGGCATTCCTGACAGACATGACTGATTGTTATCACTTCAGATGACAACTCTCCGTAAGCTGTCACCTGGCTGACTGCATGAGTTCTAGTGGAGTCCCTTGATCAGTTTCATGTATTTTCTCTACATTCCCTTCACAGCCAAACATCGCCATAGTACCTCTCGGTCGACGGAATGGAATGCCGCTTCCAGGTCAAGAAATATGACGATTGTTGGACACCATACCAGGCTTCTAAAAATTCTCTGGCTTTCTTGGTGTTTCCTATTTCTAATATTTGAACGTTGTCCCAGTCGAATAGATGTCCATGATTGTCTGTATGCATTGAGTGTTTTGAGGGGGGAGTGGATATCATGTCTTTTGATGGCTAGTTTATGATCATGGACACGAAGACGGAGGGGACCTCCACTTTGGCCAATGTAGATTTTTTCGCAGTCATTGTCATTTATTTTGTAAATGATATCGGTTTTATCTTCTTTCGCTGTTGAGTCTTTTGGTTGTCACACAGCCAGCTGATTGAAGTGATTTTGTTGGTTTGTGTGTGTGACATCAATTTCTAAAGGTTTGAAAAGTCTTGTGATGATTTCTGAGACGCTCTTTATATATATATATATATATATATATATATATATATATATATATATATATATATATATATATATATATATATATATGGTAAGATGATTTTCTTTGTGTTTTCCCTGAAGACCTTTGATTCGGCTGATTGGTATTGAAGTATGCTCTGAAGATGTTGCCTAGATTGTGGCAATGAAAGCATCGCAAGTAAGTCATCCAGCTCAGAGTACATAACTACATCAAAATCATCCAATTGAGCTACATACAAATTTTCTCCATTAAATTTTGAGTTTTGATCGCCTTGGCTATTAAAACACCTACTACTGCTTAAGTGCTGTTGCTATAATTTGTTCAATATTCTTTTATATATATATATATATGTATATATATATATATATATATATATATATAACCGTATGGATCAAATTTCATGTGTTGCAACCATTTCTACCTTTTAATTGTCTGTATTAATTTTCTTCGTTAATTATCATCCCATTGACATGTTGACACTGACTAATTATTGTTAACAAACATATCTGTGCCACTTCATTGGTAAATTGTTGTGTATTATAATAAAAATGCTATACATAATATATTAGAGTAGAGGCACAATGAGATGAGGATCTAATTGAAAAGTAAATATTTCCTCCCTCAATCCTTGCGCTTTCAAATTGCTACCTCCGAACTGGTGTATTCCTTCCCCTAAGGCATTCGTAAGTCACTTGCTTATATCTCTCTGCCTTTCTCTGCTGGTTATCTTTCCAGACTATTCTAGGTGAACTCAGCAGCCAATAAAAAGTATACTCTCGTTCCTCTGCCATTTCTGATAGTTTTTCATCACCACATTTTTGATTGTTTGATTTAAATTCCTTCAGCTGGATTAGCTGCAATGTTAGTGTTTCTTGTTGTTTATCACTGTTTCATTTAAATGTGTATAATTCTAGTTCTATCCCTACTGGTAAGACCCATCATAACTCCGAAGAGCATTACCTTTTATCCTACTTGATCTTTACTCTCTTTCTCATTCTTTTTGAACTTTGATCTTAAAGTTAGTTCCCACAAGGCGTCATCACTTTCTGGTTCACCTTGTGGTGAGAGCTGTCTGCAAGCCAAAATGGTAGACAACGATTTATGTCAATGTTCACGTCCCGAATCGGGATCACGAGAAAAAAACAATAACAAAGGTTGACCTTGAGGAACTCACCAACCAATTACAGCAGACTTAATGTGAGCGAGTAAGATTCGCAGATATGTGGTTTAACTTTCTGAGAAACGGTCACAAGCAGTACAGAATAACGTTCAGCAAGAAAACAACCAATCAGAAGACGTCGTCTCTCCGCTAACAATAATTTACATAAATATCTATGAATATCTCTTGATTTTCTCAACAAACGATCTGTTGCCTGACCTTTGTCTTCTGTCGTCACAGCCTTATTTACTAAGTTCCATCCCAAGAGATCCTGCACATGTATCATACATTCACTCTTTCAACTAATGATTCATTTAAAACAGTTTTGTACTTCAGACTAGCAACATATTATTATCGTTATTGATTTGATGCTAAATATACTGACAATCAATGATATTGTACGCATGTATTGGAGTGCATGTCTGTCATTTTTAAGACATTGTTTGTTTCCAATGATATATTTCACAAATTAACGCAAGAGTAAATTTTAATAATTATATGAGATATAATCGTGCCTGTGAAAACGGACTGTTAATCATGTATGCGCTATAAATTGGTTTGAATAAATCATTGATAATTTTACACTCCTGTGGGCTTATTTCACACTGAGACAGTCTGCATTCATGCCCTCATACAGGCTATGCAATAGGAGCTGATGCTATGTGAGGGAACAGTGATATTCAGTGGGTGAAGGGAGCTTGAAATAACCCCTCTTTCATGTTCATATTGATAATATCGACGACTTGTATTAGGAGATTTGGCTGACAGTTGGGGTTTTAAAATGACAAGCTCATTGTGGCTATCGTGAGGTGGGTGTCAAACACAGGGTTTGTAAGTAGTATATGGATGCATATAGATAGGAAGCGGCCAAAAGTAAAATCAACATTGTAAGTCAATGGCTGCAGACGTAGAAGTGTTTATTCCACAGATCTAGATCTGGTTTATGATGTATGTATGAAATAATCATTGTTTAATCTCTAGTCAACCGCCAAACAACCAGAACAATTTATTGTCCACTGGTCTGGCCCAATACCGTACCAGAGGGTAACTTACCTAAATATTTATGATACATCCTAATTTATTGGTGAATTTAGTGTTTGTCAGGGCTGTAGCGGTATGCAATTCCCCAGAATTATATGGCCACAGCATTCATCACTGAAAATTAGTTGCTGACCCTCACTGTTTAAGTCGACTTGTTTAGCTGAAGGCTTCCGGTCAAGCATCCAAGCCATTTGGTACTCCGTCGTGTCACGTCCGTTTGTTCTTGCACGATCCCTAGCTTGCTTAGCAATCATCTCGCACTCCGATTTGGTCCCGAAATACAACTCGTAATTTGGACGGTCACTTCTGGTGTTTTGCTTTGCCTTTGGTCTACACAGAAATAATACTAAAGAAGTTGTTGGTATTAGATCTTGCGTTAGTATACTTCGTACTATCCATGAGCGTCAATGGAAGCTCTGTTGGCAATGGTTTGCATCCCTTGGGAGGGACGACAAAGGAATAAGCCCAAACCCTAAAAGCGCCCAGGAAAATTTTGGCTTCACGGAAAACTTATGCCTAGTGTCACATAAACTGGAAGACTTTTAGGTGGGAACCAACAAGCAGGCAAGTGCACATATCGAAGACATAACCACGGGTGAACGCAGTGAAGATAGAGGTGATGAAGATACGTAACCAACAATAAAGAGCACCAGTCATCATCAACGGGGGGAATCTAAACGGAGCTACCTCCTTCACTTATCTAGGCAGCATCATTTTAACAACTAGCCTCACAGATTAGGATGAAACAACCAGCCAGCATCGAAAAATGAAGATGGACCTTCATTAATTTGTTATCAATTTCGTAATGTGCTGCAATAAGTATAAAGAACAAGATGTCAAGCCAGGCACTGTTTAGGCATGACTAAGAGTTTTGACCAGTATGTCACGACAAGCATATTCAGTGGGTTTCAAGTTTTCATCTACTGCCAGATTCACTAGTTTGATACTGCAGATAAGATAGCCGGTCAGGTATAACTGGCAACAGGGAAGTAGGGAAGTAAGCTAACCAAGAACTATCTGCCCAGCAAATATGCAGAAGGAAATGGAAACTTTTAGGACACATGCTGAGAAGGCTGTTGAGTAACATCCATCTTCGGGCCGTCGAATGTAGCCGGAATAGGATAAGAAGAGCTAGGAGTAATTCGGAGGATAACAGGTAGCTGATTGTGGGAGGAGGGAATGGGAGATTATGGGCGAACCTGTAGATAGGTAAATACGATGGCAGAGGACAGAATGAAACGGAGATGTGGTGTTGGATCCTCATGGTTTTGCTTGAAACCTAAGGGAATAATAAAATGATACAACTCCTTCTATTCCCTTAGTCTCGTCAAAAATATCTGGGCGCTCTCTCCTGATATATTCACCAATACTACCTAGCAGACAACGAACCGTTGTAACCTAGCGCCCTAATGTAAACTAACCTAATCGCTAAAAACAGCGTCAGTTACAAGAACAGTGCTAAACAAGAAGCTAAATTAGACCATTAACATGACAAGTACGATGTCTAATCTACATATCTTTTGGAAGTCTATTTAGCTCAAAGAAAATTCTCTTCAATTTGTAGTGCATTTTGAATGTTTGAACTTTATGTTTTAACGCATTCATGTAATGTGACGCCACGCCTTCACTGTGCTTCCGGCGCGATTGCTCGCACTTGGCTTGCTCCCTCGTTGTGCTATCACTAGGCGCACTCTTGAGCTTGTCACTCCAGCCAGTCAACACATAAGTTGTACAGTATTCTTACTTATTAAATTTGACATTTAATCTG